TTAAATTGAGATCTAAAAATACATAGACAGACAACAAGCAGACTTAAACAATTTTATCAGCAGTTGATTTATTTTGGCTTTCTGCTCTCCCTGGTCGCAGTTCAGTGCAAGCCATAAATAAGTTAGGCTGGTGAAGGAGATTGAATTTTCGAGGCCAGAACAGTAATTGAGGAATTGAACAGCCTGGAGGTTGAAATATCGTCTCCTGGGACAGAAGCCTCTGGACCTATTAGCAGCTGTCTATATTGCTTTTCCAGCCATTGACACATACGATCATGTCAACATATTGAACTGATTTATGTTCCTCTGTGTCACAAAAGGACAGATCTCGTACATGTTCTGAGCTCCATCGTGCTGTTACTCTAAGAATGAGAATATCTAAAGTCATTTCGCTACATAAATCACAACACACGCCAACATTTTGCTGCAAAATAAAAATTTCCAGTCACTATCAAGTTTCTCTCAGGAACTGTTTTTCAATATTTAAAAGGCATCCAACCAAATCCAATATTTAGGAGGTTAGAAAAAAAGGTTGAACAAAACATTTAAGCTGTAAGCTTTCACAGTATAGTTACAGGAAAAAAAATGAACTTATTTCCAAAATGCATTTACTGCATCTAAAACCTTTTGTTTCTCAGCTCCTTTGCAAAATTACTGTTACCCTCAGAATCTGCCAAGATTTTTCCCTTGCCAAGTACTAAAACGTCAGATCTTTCAAAACTAGGGGAAGGCTTAATTTCCTGTGAAAAAAATCCGCACCCGTTCAGCACAATACGATTGCACAGAAAGCAGTAATTTTCCCTTTTTCCACACTGTATTGGTCAGCACTTGCAAAGGAAAGACTGAAAGGGAAGCCTGAGAAGGGTTTTACTTTTTTCTTTAAAAACAAAACGAACAAACAAAACAAACTCCCCCTCCCATCACCCACCACTTCATTTTTTCAGTCATTCTCTCAGGATCAAAACCGCACAAGGACACAAGAGACTCCACAGACACCCAAAGCAACAAGCGACGGATTGCAAAACCAACCCATGACCAAAGGCAAAAAGAATTATCTTCAGGTCTTACTCTGTATGGAACATGGAACTGACCTCGGCAAAAGCGCAGGCCCGCGGAAGGCCCCTGAGCTCCCCGTGGGGCACAGCGGCTCTTTCGGGGCGGCCTCAGGGGCTTTTTTACCTCAGGAACCCACCCTGCCACACCGCACCGCAGCTCCTCCACCTCTGGCAACAGACACACGTTTGATTCGTCGCTCAACACACAGAAATAAATACTTCCTCGCTCTCTCACTAATCTAGCATCCCATGAAACCTAAAGCAAACATTATTCCTAAGATGGCGTCACTCTGCGCGGGCCACAGGCTTCCCAAGCCTGACAGAAATGGCTCCCCACGCAGCACCCCTGAGCTGTGGGGTTTCGGATAGTCATGACAACAATCACATACGCAAAAAGACCGAAACTCAGTAAAAGATCTAAAAGGCATCCCTGGGGGCTCAGGACAGTGCTGTAACCCCACCGGGGCCGCTGGCCCGGGCGGGCTCTGCAGCACAGGGAGGCGAGGCAGCAGCCAAAGCCTGTTAGCACGAGGTTAACCTTACCCTGAAAACAAAGCCAGTATTTAACTTAGAATCATTACAGTGATGGATTGGAAAGGGGAAATACGAGAAAAACTCACTTCATGAATCACGATTAAAATGCACATTTCCTCCTTTTGCACAGTCTGTAAAAAACATACATCTGGTTTTGTTTTGTAAGAAAAGATAACGGCAACTAAAACTGAAAAGCATTTCTTTTAATAGAGTACCACATTTGTTCTGATCAAGCCCACCACTTTCTTTTGAAGAAAGGCTCCCCATGGCATCAAGCACAAACATAAAACTGCAAGAGTGTGTTGGATCTGCTAAATGCCTAGCAAGATGGACTGTTCACTGGAATTAAGCACTACCAGTTATTAATAAATTATTTTTCTGATTAAATATTGAATCAAACAGACACATCATCACCTGCTATGTACCAGACTGCACTCCCAGCACTTTGCGCTCCGCTCCTGCTAGATCTCAACACGGACAGGATCAGTGATCTGGACGTGTGACACCAAACCAGAGCTCCCTAACGAAGAGCAACGCGCTGCTCACCCAACCCGGTTTCCCCGACTTGCTGCTGAAGGGGAGAGCGCTGGAGGTCCCTGCATCCCCGAAGGAGCGGGCTCTGCTCAGCCCCACGGGCAGGCAGCAGCCAAAGGCTCCCTGCCCGCACATCACCACGCTCCTGTGCAAGGCAGCGTCTGAGCTAGAGCTGCTCAAGGGGAGAGAGGAATGCTTTCACCTCCTGGTACTTGGCAGTATTTCTCCACAACTGCCAGAGTACAGCTCAGGTGGACATTTTCTCTCCAAGTCTTCTAAACAAAACCCAAAATATGAAGGACTTATCAGTTCAGTCAGCTTTGGCTTAGTTGAAAACTTTCACCCTAAGCAAACAAAGAAAATAACAGCTCTTCACCAAAATGTCTTTGAGTAAGAACAATTCCTATTAGAAATGTGGTTTGACAGCCAGCCCCCTTAAAGAAAGCAAGACGACACCCCCGCAGCTCAGCAGCCCCTCGGGACGGAGTCTGCATGCAGTGGGTTTCGCAGAGATGTGCAGGATGGAAGATCGCCAGCCCCATGTTCTTCTTCAGCTGCAGATGTTGCCTCCTCACCATGTGCTGTCTCAACAGCATGCTGCTCCACCTGATGCAGACAGAACAGGACACCATAGCTATTAAATTAAAAAAAAATTTTTAAAAAATCACGAGGGCACCTTCAGAACTGATGCTGTAGGCATGCTGCTCATAAATTTCCAAACTCAGCTGCCTCATACATACTCACAAGGCGCGCAAGTCTCTGCTTCTCAGGGAAGCAGCATGCCTGCACAGTGATGGACAACTCCAGTAGTAACTTTCAGACAGCCCTTGCTTGCAATTATACCATTCCACAGGCTGTAACGAGGTACACAGGTTAAGCAACTCCTACAGCTGGCAGGTCATTTCGGATCTATGGTTGTAGTGTACTCCCCAAATGGCTCTTCTCAGCTGCTGCACAATGCCTACTTCACTTACAGACCTTCATAGGAAAGGGGTAACAATCCCACTTTTATAGAGCACACAAACACATTAAGTATTGCAGTTCATTTAAAGAGATGTGGACAGAAAACCTACACGTACTAGGTAAAAACTATTTAATGCTAAAAAAAATTAACATGAAGTAAAAGATTGCATATACATACTGCGTAACATCCAACGGGATTCATCGCCTTTCTCTGCACAGATTTACTATTTACTGGTTTTGGAGAAAAATAAAACTTGTCACTTACTGAACACGGTATCTTTAAAATTTGGTTAAAAAATAACACATTCCTTCTCAGATTTTTAGACAAAGTATCTCACCAAAAGGACTAAGGACATCAAATACTACACTAAAAAAGGCCACAGAAAAAACACATTTCCGGAACTGAAACAGTGACATAACTTGTATAGTCACACATAAATACGCTAATTAACATTCTGTGAAGTTCTCCCTTCACTGTGTCCAAGGATTACACTGCAGCATCTCAGTGATTTCACCCCACTGACGTATGGGTTTTGGTCAACTTGCCATATGCTTTTGAGATGTTGTTTACATTAGCTTACAGGGGAAATACTAACCTTGTGCATCTATAATACATATCAGCTACTACCTTATCAGCAAATTTTAAATTACAGCAAAATTTTAATTTCATGAAAATGGAAGAATTACCTATTTTTATTACTAGAATTCAGTTCTTTTTATCCCACTAAAATACAAAGTTTTCTAAAGATCTAAACATAATTCATAAACCAAGAGATGAAAAACTGAGTTCAATGCCTGTTTATTTCACACACTCCCCACTGCCCCTTTTCCTGTGTTCAAATACAACTCTTTTCTGAACTACACAATACACACGTAGGTGGTAAGTATGAGGAAGTTCTCCAGTGCTTGATACAGCACATATTCAAGTTTGGAACAGAACTACAAATTACTATTTTTCAGGATAAGTAGTAGTGACAAGAAAGTAAATACTATTTTAAATGCCTTTGAAAGGCTTCTCTCATCACACTGTTGTAGATAAACTGCTGACAGTTTAAGAAAGCAGAGTATTTATCTGATGACATACCGAACAAAGAGAAATATCACAATATGCAAAACACCTACCCTTTAACATGTTCTTCTTTTCTATCAAAATAACTCCAAGTGGTAGGTAAAAGCAGTGAAAAGTGTGATTTATTGGGCATCTCAATCAGCCTGATTACATGTAAGATTTCAATGTCAGTAGCTCAGGGGGACAGCAGGTCCACTTTCAGACTGGATGCTATCACCACTGCTATTTTCCAAACAGCAGCAAGTCCTGCATCAATGTTACTTTCACCAGGTTTAGGTGTCAACTGCAATGCAATCCTGGGGAAGCCGACTTCAAAAGGAGATACAACAAACACTATATGCATTCATAACAAACTGAAAAATTTTCCCAATGACGAGGGGGAAAATAAGTCTGGAATGCACTGGACTGATGAAAAATAATACACCCTGCCCCATCTGCTAACCATTAAGATAGGGTTTTATCTGCTTTTACCACTACAAAAGAACAACAGACAAAATACGAAAAGCTCAGGACCATCATCTTTTATTCCTTGAATTATCAGCGAAAAGTTATCCAGAAAGAAAGTATAACTTTCCAAAGAGTGCATAGTATCTCAAACAACACACCTTATTCCCCATCCTGCTAACAAGGTTTTCTCAATCTACATAATTGTAAGTACTGCCCAAACCAGTATCCATCTTATTATTTTTTGTAAAACCAAAAAGTCAAACTGTACATGACCATTATTCATTAAAACATATTTTTATTCAACTGTAAGCCCAGTTCTGAATGATGTCAGGTGAGGCAGTAAGGAACATCTGCCTTTATTAACTGCTGAAGAGATATAAATAGAAAATAAAAGCATTTTAAGAGTCTTCTTCCATAACCACATCCTCTTGTAGCTTCTGCACCATTTTGTCCTCCAGCTGTTTTGGTGTGCCTTCAAAGTAAAGAAAAAAGTAAATTCAATGTGGCTCTCTAAACCTAAATAACTGTTTTTCTTTGAACAATATGTGTCTACTCTAGGTGAAACCATCTAAATACATTGCTTAAAGAGTTGTTTAGGAGTAAACCCACCAAGTTTACAAATATTTATTCCTAACCTCCATCAGCACCTAAAACTACTGAAGAACTGTTGTAACAGAAAAGCTGATGCTGGTTTTATGCAAAATCTAAAATGCAGTCAAACACATGTTTTCCTTTAGTAGGATGAACTTTGATATAGCTGGCAATACCTAGCAGAACCTTGCAAAGGACTATAAAAAGAGGGTTGTCATCAGCGGCGCTGAGTCTAGTTGGAGGCTGGTAACAAGTGGTGTCCCCTAGGGGTCAGTACTGGGCCCAGTCTTGTTTAACTTCTTCATCAACGACCTGGATGAAGAGTTAGAATGTACCCTCAGCCAGTTTGCTGACGACACCAAACTGGGAGGTGTGGTAGATACACCAGAAGGCTGTGCTGCTGTTCAGCGTGACCTGGATAGGCTGGAAAGCTGGGCAGAGAGGAACCTGATGAGGTTCAACAAGGGCAAGTGCAGGGTCCTGCACCTGGGGAGGAACAACCTCATGCACCAGTACAGACTTGGGGTGGACCTGCTGGAGAGCAGCTCTGTGGAGAGGGACCTGGGTGTCCTGGTGGACGACAGGTTAACCATGAGCCAGCAGTGTGCCCTGGCTGCCAAGAAAGCCAATGGGATCCTGGGGTGCATCAAGAAGAGTGTGGCCAGCAGGACAAGGGAGGTTCTCCTTCCCCGCTACACTGCCCTGGTGAGGCCTCATCTGGAGTACTGTGTCCAGTTCTGGGCTCCCCAGTTCAAGAAGGATGAAGAGCTACTGGAGAGAGTCCAGCGGAGGGCTACAAGGATGGTGAGGGGACTGGAGCATCTCCACTACGAGGAGAGGTTGAGGGAACTGGGCTTGTTCAGCCTGAAGAAGAGAAGGCTGCGAGGGGACCTTATAAATGCCTACAAATATCTGAAGGGTGGGTGTCAGGAGGATGGGGCCAAGCTCTTTTCAGCAATGCCCAGTGACAGGACAAGGGGCAATGGGCACAAACTGAGGCACAGGAAGTTCCGTCTGAACATGAGGAAGAACTTCTTCCCTCTGAGGGTGACGGAGCACTGGAACAGGCTGCCCAGGGAGGTTGTGGAGTCTCCTTCTCTGGAGATATTCAAGACCCGCCTGGACAAGGTCCTGTGCAGCCTGCTGTAGGTGACCCTGCTTCGGCAGGAGGGTTGGACTAGATGACCCACAGAGGTCCCTTCCAACCCCTACTATTCTGTGATTCTGTGATTCTGTGATAAAAATGCATTATAAAGGCCTTCACACATTAGTTTTTACATAAAGATTTAAGCCCTCCTGAATACTGTGCTGGATGGCAACAGTGTTAACTCTCACTAATACCTCCAAAAAAAAAAAAAATCCAGGACTGACATTTGATTTTGCTCTCTTTAAGGCCCAGCAGGAACTGCAAAACACTGAAAAGGTAGCTGTTGTTTGACAAACAGATTTACTACCTGCTATTCTGCATCACTCATTTAACATTAGCAAAGCCAAACAATAGAAATAAACACTCAGGTTTATTCTTTTGAATTCAGATATTTTTTCTTTTTCTTCCCACAACAAAAAAGGGACAGATTAAACCAAAGTTTCAATATATCCTGGCAAAACCTTGTTTCACATATATACAATCTTACACTATAGTTAATGCAAACTGGAAGAAAGAAACATAGCACAGAATTCTAGTCAAGATTTAATAGCATGTCACACCTACAGCCACAAAGACAAAATCACTGGTAATTTCTATAGAACAGTAACCAATGGAAATGCTTTTAACTTCTCTCCATTACTTTACTCCATTAACTGCATTTTAAGACATAAATCATCTTTACAAATCATTTTTACCAACATCATCTAACACGAGCTAGTCCTTGTAATAGTTTAGAAACCAGAAAATTATTTAGGAGAAATAGTTTCTCCAGTTGAAAAACTACTTTCACTAACCAGGAGTGTACATTATTATAGCTGAACTAGACATAGATTTTAGTGAAAATGTGTAAAATTGCCATGCTCTTTTAGAAAGATTTTTAGGCTTACACTGAAGAAACAGTATTTTCATGTAAGTTTCATTATACGCAGTGAACTCCAAAAAGACACCTACTCACAATTACCTAACAAATTCAAAAAGTAGAGTTTAACTCCTGTATTTCACATCAATCAGTGGTATAGTCTGCTGAGTTCAAATAATCAATTCAAAGGGAAGACTTAGATAAATGTATTGGTTAACCAACACGCAGTTCAGAGTAACAGGTATAGAGTGAGGTTTAAAGAAAAATAAGGGAAAGAAAGGATGAATACAGGACTAGATAAATAAAAAGGTATGTTTGATTCAGAACAAAGATACAGCTTACATTTAGTGGCAAGAGCTATTCTCCATATTCCATAGACAAATTAATTGTAAGAAAAATGTACAGAATTATTGATCTGTAGAATTAATCATACCAGAAAAATCAATATTCATCATAAAATTGTATACACAAGTTAACGTAAGCAAACCAGGTAAAGCAAGTTCTTACCTGCATGTGGAGCACGGAGAAGGTGGATATTCTGTTTGACTTCTTTGATGTCTTCTGCTTTCTGCAATTCTTTGCTCTTCTTTAATCTGGGAAGGGGGAAATTACATTTAATTTCCTTCAAAGAGGACATGTATGTTTTCATATTAATGCATGACACACACCTTTATATAAAGGTATGTAAACTGCAAATAACTATGATTATGAGGAAATAAAGGTTAAAAGTATTTGAAAACCAATTCCAGCATATACTGGATATAAAAACAAAACAAAAAAAAAAACAGCACAGTATCAAGTCTTACCAGAAATTCCTTTAAAGCTCAGACTCTGTATTACAAACCAGAAAATAAAACTATTATCATCCAGTGCCCAAAATGCTACATTTCATTGGACAGCCAAAGAAGCACCGCAGTTTGGTAGCGTAGTAGAGCCCACACTCACTTTTACCTCATAGTTTGGATGACTGTGTACGTACAAAGCAAATAACCATTGATCACCAATTCTCTGGAAAGACTGTCTAATACCGACTTGCGAGAGCTCCCATAAAACAAATACTTCTCACCTGTTCATAATAAATCTGGCTTGGCGTTTTTGCTTTATTTCCTCCACTCTCTTCATTGCATCAACTGAAATAAAACAGAAGCCGTCGTAAATGTGCTTACAAACCTACAGCTGAAAACACATGCTGTTTTGCAGAGCAACACTACCAGTATTCCATAATACCTCTAATATCAGAGGCAACTCATACTACATAGACGAAGCTACACCTTCTTCCAAGAGCAGGGTAGGGGAATAGTCTGTGTACCACCTATGACGAATTGTATTTGAAAACTTATTTATGCTTCCACTTTTGTGCCTATACATATTTTCTACAACTAACCACCACTACAAAAGACTCTTACTCTACTTGAAATCAGATGCAAGTCACCATCTTCTTTGTGACATTCATCCATGACATAAGTAACTCTTCCATTTTATAGCAACTGATTTATTAAACAAACTGAAGTGGAATGAGCAGGAACAAAGAAACAACTGTATCACTATAAAAGGCTTACACTGGGAGCCTCTTAAAAAGCTGGAGAACCTCTAAAGTATTTTGCAGATCATAATTCCAAACAGAGGAATGCTATACCTCATTTTCTAACCAGTTTGTGAAAAAAAAATAAAATCAAGTGAAACTCCACACCTTTTCACAACTCAAACCTCCTCGACACATTATCATTCAGTCATGATTCCAGTAATTTCAAACACAATCACTACAAGTGTCAATATTCTACAAAGTCTTCTGAAAACATGTTCATGTAGAATAAAAGTTCACTCCCCACAGTTCATCTTTTCTTTTTTCTAAAATGACTCACCAGTCTTGTTCCACAATTCCCTCTGGTATTTCACTGGTTCATTTCTACGTTTTTCAAACTCGAATGAATTATCCTGTATCAAGAAAAAGTAAATACAGATTATATACAGAAGCATATTTAGATCAATACATCCTCACTAGAGCACTTGTTTATATAACTTAATATTTTATGTGATTTTTTTTTTCCCTTTCAGAATCTCATAACAACCTTTAGCGATTACTAAACTAGAAGGAAACAGAGTGGAGTGTTTGACCTCAAAGTGTCAGAAGCCACAGTGATTTGTCTGAAGAGAACTATTTACCAAAACCTCTCCCTCAGCGATTTTCTATTTAGCAAGACAAATGGAACAGAGAAGACCAATGTGGAGGAGGAAATACAGAGTAGACTAGACAGGTGGAAGGCAAGACTGAAAACCTCTAGAGTCAAAAGTATTCAATGCAGGTCAAATAAGTTCTACCCAACAGCCTGTAATTATGAAAAGGTGAAAAACACTATTTCATTTTAAGAATATTGAAACAATATAAATTAATTTGAAGTTGTGAAATATTTCAACTGATGACATTGTGGTGTTTAGGGCAGCTAGGGGCTTTTCTTTTGGGGGTTGGTTTTTGTTGTGGGTTTTTTTTTTTTTTTTGCAAGAGTTTAAGACAGAAAAACAGTTTCCTGATTTTTTTTTTCCTAGGTGTACTTAGCTTTATACCAACTTTATCTGAAGACTTTTCCCTGCCCACAGGTTCACTTTTGTAGTGGTAAAGCAGAGTTACTAGACCAGCTGCTAATCTTGACCTAAAGACAGCTCCAATGAGAGCAACTGCACAGAACAGCAAAAAAAGGCACAGACACACTCACAAGCCATGCTCCATTGGCAGACGAATGTTAGTTTTCTCCATGGGATAGCATCAAGCAAAATATCCAAAATACAAACTGTAGAGCACACCGTACACTAATATCTACATGCCATTCTTATTCTCAACCTACTTGTAACGTACAGCATTGTTATGTACCATGACAACACATCACAAAGAGCAAAAAGAAGTCTCATAGGAGTAGAGATGTTCAAAGTGCCACGGTCTTCTAACCTACATGGAAGGAGACAAACTACAGCTGCCTCATACTGGCCAATGGATCCCATCAATTCCAAACATGCGGGGCAGAATGACCGACGACTCAGTCATTCCAAGTGAGCAAACAGAAGAATCCTTCAGAAGCACCTTGTGAACAAGCAAAGCAGCTGGCAAGATTTTGTCCTTCTTAATTTTTCTGTTGTTTAATAAGAAAAAACTTGAATCCCAGGAAGACCAGTAAATATATGTAACCTCTATCCAATGTACCTCTTTAAAGCAGCAAGAACTGTCACCTTCTTACAAATTACAGTATTTCCCATTGTCACAAGCCTATTTAGACACACTCCTCAGAGATGGCTTATGAAAGAATGGATACCGACCAAACTACAACAAAACACTATGCTTCTATATTGGTTTAATTCTTAGCATACATAGACGTTGTAATCAATGGCCTTGCTGGACTTGTCAATGCAAGACAGAAGACATGCTCGGACTCAGGCATCAAGAGCTGAAGAGTTAACAAAGGGAGCAATTCACTTATCAGACAGAAGTAAGGGGGGACAGCCCATCATTGTCAGTCAAGTGATCTGTGGGGTGCGGCGGAGGCCGTGTAGCCAGAGACTGCTTCGGATAAAGCACAGATGGCGCCCAGAAGCGCATACCAAGATGCCCACTCTGCAGGCGTGTCACACTGCTGAGTCCCGCTTCTGATGACACGACATTCCATGCCAAGAGCCAATCGATACACAATAATTGACTTAGTCCCACCTCACAAAAAGATTTTCCAAACATATAAAAATTGGCACTTGAAAACTCTCTTTGGGAGGAGGAGCCAAGTGAGAACTTTACCTGACGGACGGGCTGATGAGCCTGAACCTCTCTTCACCCTCCAAGAAGAGATGCCTTTTTGGTAAGAGTCGCGCCTCTGACTCTGTCAGACGTATCCCCAGGAACACATTTTTAACTGAAGCGCTAAACCATTACCTTGAGCTCAATTTTTGTAGACAGTGCATTTATCAATGGCTATCCTGAATCTGTGATACCTGTCGCTTGAATAAATTACTTATTGTTTCAACTTTGCGAAACGTTTCAGTGAAAGTCCTTAGAAGGGCTCTGACAGGCAAGTTGAATCTGATAAGTGGCTACATGCTTAACCCTTCAGACATAAACCATTGACCAAGTCTGGGACTAGGAGTAGCTCCAGCTGCATCTAGACTCCTCTCTGAGAGGGAGTTTAGAATGCAAGGGGGTCTGCTCTGAACCTCGTGACTCAACGGGAGGGCTTTCCTTTTGCCGCTTGTCAAGACTCCCTGACCCCTTTTAAAGCAACAGATGTATCTCCAAATTGGAGCATATTTTCACCTAATTTCACACATATAAGGAATTTAAAATTAAGATCTTAACTTCTTTTCAAAAGGTAATTCAAATTAGCCAGAAACAATTTGAAAGCAAGAAATACAATTACAGAAGATCCCAACTAATCATGGCTTCTCAGAGTGACATTAAAAAAATAAAATAAGATCACATTCTTCCCCTTGGAAGAGCCACAGAAAGCAGCAAATCACTGTGTCAAAATACTTCGTAAACTGTTACTATTCTGTCAAAAAACATGTAATTCAGTCATAATAATTCTTGAATTATTTAAGGACTATCCCACCAAATATGAGCATTTAGTATTTTTACCACTAAAGTAACTTTGTCTTGAAATTGATTTTAAGATCTCGCATGTTGTTTTTGAAACATTCCTATCTATGCAAGGACTTCTCCTATACTATATATATATAAACTACCTTATGTGTCTACACAGAGAGGCTTCTTGGGGTACCCGGTAACTGATTATCTGATTGTGCAGAAATACAACTACCACATGTGTATGTACAGAGAGTAGGAGATTTACGGATGGAAGAAAAATGCCTCGGACTTGGGAACTGTCATGTGCTACCGATGTAGACACCTAATACACTGGCTTCCACACTGAAGCTGAGATGGGAAGTTCCAAGTTATTGTCAGCCTAAATGGATAGCTCACTCTCAAGAAAACTCTCACATCCTCTTCCACAATCCCTCTTTTCTCCATTTACTCCATCCCTCATGCTCATCTAATTAAATGATAACACACATTAAGCTAGCTAACCTAACCTGTCTGCAACTGGAAGAGTCTAGATTTCTGCCATTTTCATGAGCTAATGTAAAGTGTGAACCAGTTCAACTTCTTACCACTGTCAATTCTTTGCCAGCTGCTTTCCGGAATGCTTTGGTCCATCTCATCTTTCTGGGATTTCGCTTCTTTTTAAAGGTTCTAAAAATTTAAAAAAAAAAGGGGGGGGGGGGGGAGAAGGGAAAAAAAAGTTTACAGTCAAAGCATATTACTCCCGCCTCACTGCAAGCACAATGTCAAACACTGAAGTTTTTCTAACCATACTGCTCATTGAAAATGACATTCATCTTTCAAATTTAAATACTTTTAGTTCAAATATAGCTATTAACAAATATTTCAAGTACTGTTCTTGTTTTTTCATTATAAAGTCATTTTCAAAGCTGTCAGGGACATGCACAAATACTTATTATTAAGCTGATTATATATAAAATATACTGAAGTTGTGAGAATTATCATCTGCAAAAATAACTATAAAACCAAACCTGTACTGTGAATAATTTTCTATACCTGTCAGCACTTTTTAGATACAGTGACATCCTGACAACAACAAAAAATCCTCACACCTGTCACATAACATTTTTCAATGAAATACACATACACACATAAAAAAAAAAAAAAGGTCTGTCTTCCGGAATGTAGCTTTAAGCCTTAAAGATTACCCTGCAGCAGGAGTCCTAAGCACATTATTCAAGTCCTGGACTGAATTTACTGAAAGCTGTTAAAGCATATGCCAAAACATTCTCACTGACCTTTTTTTTTCTCCCCTCCATCCATTTTTCTACATATTCTACAGAATGCCAGACTCATTTTAGGCACCTGCCACTGCTAGCCATGGAAGGACCTTATGTACAACCAGGTGATGTTTTCAGGCCCATTAAAGATGCATAAAAGAAACTTCACCATCCATACTCAAAATTCTCCTTTTATTAGTATTGAAACTATGAAAGTAACAGCCAAGCTAAAAAACCCCTTATCCCAAACTGTCCCAAATCCAACAGACATTTTCCAGTCAAGAAGTCTGTAGAAAGACAGCAGTAAGAAGGAGGGGAGGAGAGACATAATCACCTACAGTTCTTCACCTTCCCTAGATCTGCGCGTCACTTTGCACTATCCTGAGCTGTCTAGTATCCAGAGTAGAGCTGAAACTTTACTTCAGAATACTCAAAATTATATTTGTTATTCATGACTTTTTGAAAACCCTGTTTTTCTTCAACCCTACTCTTCTTCCCATCTAACAGTCACTTTTAAAGAAAATTAACAGAAAATATGAAACCTCTGGTAAAGGTAACCATCTTCAAGTAGTTACTTTTTTTACATTCTCCTACCACATTTTTTTCACCTTAACTCAGTTAAATCTGCCATTATATTTTGCTCTTGCACAGATTCTCTGTTCACAACTAACCTGCCACTGTGCTACCTTTTTTAAAAAAAACACACACACACCTTGTGGCCATTTTCTAGCAAATGGAACTGTGTCACTCTACATTTACCTCTAAATTCCCCAAAATTGTGACTCAGGTGAGCAATGCAGTTCAGCCAGTATTTGTTTTGATGTCTGCGCATGAGAAGGAAGCTATCTGCGTAAGCTTCATTTCACCCTGGGGACTCCAGTGCCCTACAGGAGTGATAAGGGGCAGAGCATAGGCTGGGAAGCTATACGCAACATTTTATGTACAAGGTTGTCGCCATAAGGTAAAGCCCAAAGTGCTATTCCCATCCTGTTATGACAGCCTCAGTTGGGCAAGTCACATCAGACATCTGACCGAGGTACAGCTTTCAGCAGAGCACCGTGAGAGACGTCAGCCATCAGCTTTAGCGTTCTGTGCCTGAAACCTCGATTGAGCAAAGCTCTGGAATCACCTGCTACCAACCCGAAGCCTGCACTTCTCCAAAACCAGAAAACGAAAGGATGAAGATTCCGTATTGCTCTCTAAAACACCTCATTTCTTAGTAAAAAATGGAAAAAAGTCCTTCAGCCTACGCTTTGCCCAACAGCCACCACAATCG